CCCATTGTCACTCTGTATGAGGTCGGAAATACGTGGGTGGCGTATGACATTCACGTAGAACTTTGTGTGCGTCGTGGACGCATGCACGGAATTATTGATAGCGAATTCGACTATCGGCAATAACTCACTCCAACTCGAAAAGGTGTAAACGTATCTTCATATTGTTATTTCGAGGAAAACTTTACAAGTTCTGTCAGACCATCCGTTTCGGGATCGCCAGAGGGGTGGACATCTTTAACCGCGATTTCAAAGCGCGGAATACATACTGCCAAAACTTTGCCGTGGACCGAGAGTCACAGTCGGACACGAATTCACGGGGTAACTCGTGGAGTCGAAACACTGTGTCGATGAAGACACGCGCACAGCCGTGTGCGGTGATCGACCCGAAGACTGCATCAAGATGCACCATCTTGCTAAAACGATCCAAAAACAAAAGAAAACCATTATTCTTGTAAGTGCCTTCGGTAACTTTGAAGAAAAAGTTCATATAACGGGATCCCAACGCTCTGCCGGGACCGGTAGATGTTGCAATGGTGCACGGGATGAAGTACTAGGCTTCGCCCGTTGACAGACCTCGTAAGAAATATTCTTCTTGCGCACAAACGGATTCTGGCGTGGCCAGTAAATAAACACGACTAACCGTAAGGTAGAACTTTACCTACCACGATGCCCGCCTGATGGTGGATCGTAACATTTTAACATGATTAGTAAACGCAGACCACCATGATCGGGAACGGCGGCACGAGGAGTGTCGTCGGCAACTGCTGTGTGGTACAGCAGACCAGTGAGAGTCGTCTACCAACATACAGGAACGTTATTGAGCCAGCTAATCCGACGAATAATTTCGGAGATAGGCTCGCAAGGTGTACCATTAAACGAAGGAGATTCGTACATCCTGCGTATACTTTCCGCACGTCGTAATATAGAGGTGAAGACTACACACTGTTTGACAGCGCCGCAACAGTGGGCAAGGTATCACTATTGACGCGTGTAGTCGGCTCGGAATCGGTTCGACGTGATAGTGCATCGGCGGAAACATTGAGCCGTACTGGTTTGCATTTACGGAACAGTTGTACTCCGCGAAGAAATTAAGACATCTTGCTATTCTCTGTGAGAGGTGTGGACTGTGTACGGCCGCGCGTAGTGACGCATGGTCCGTATCGACAATGAATGGGCTATATCCTAACAGATAGAAGTAAAACTTAGCCAGTGTTTACTTCATGGAAAGGAATTTCTTGTCATGCGCGGGGTAATTACGCTTAGCTGATTGCAGATAACGCGATTGATAAACAGATGACGCGCTCCGCGCCGTCTATGTCATTCTGCATCAACGAACAGTCGATTGCGGCATCATTGACGTCGCGGCCCACATGAAATAGTCTATCCGAATTTACAATCGCCAATATTGGCGATTGCATCAAGCTCTGCTTTAAAATCCAAATAGAACGCTGACAGTCAGCGGTTCATGACCACTTCAAATTTATCTTGAGATAGCAAGAAATATGCACAGTCATCACGGCGTAGATGCGAGAGATGTTGTTTAAGTACGCCGCTATCCCAAGGAACTCACGAAGTCCCTTGACATGGACTGGCCCAAAACCAGTCGGTAACCGCCTTTACCTCTTTGGGATCAGGGCAAACGTCGTTTCTTATCACGATGCATCCAAAAAGTGGTATTTCGCTAGCCGTAAATATACACTTCTTGAGGTTGGCATACAACTTCTGCTTGCGCATAATTTGAAAAACCCGACGAACGTGAGTTCTATGAACTTCCACGTCCGTTTTTCCGTACATAGCCCGGCTATGGACGAACACATCGTCAAAGTATCTCGGTGCGAAATACCGCACCGATCTCAACAGATTTGTGACATATCTGTTGAATGTTGCAGGAGCGTTACTCAGCCCCTGTGGCACCAATAGCCACTCCTACATCATACCGCTGGGGGTACTCACTGCCGTGAACGGGATATCCCGTTCACGCATTAGGAACTGATAGAATTCATCCATCATATTTATGGACGATAAGATGGTACTCTTTGACATAAAATCTATGATCACGTCCTTCCTCGGTATTGGCGTCTTAGCCGGTACCGTTGGAGCATTGAACTCGTTGAGTGCATGCACAATCTTCCATCATGCTGTAGCCTTTCGCACACAGGAGGTCGGAGAGCTGTGAGGGGAAGCGGATTCGCTCACATGGTCTGCTGCCAAGCGATCGGCAAAGAAATTGTCGATTGCTAGCACCTGTTCACGAGGCAGTGGCCACTGCCTCATGACACAGTACTTCGATCCCGGTTTGATCTCGATCTCGTGTCGAGTGCCATTATCCTTAGGCAACTCACAAGGCAAGGATTCACAGAATACATCCTTGAGTTCGATCAAATCAATATACAAAGATTTGCCTGAAGCTACTTCCAGAATTGAGTCGTTTATCGCTCAATCCGAGTCTTCCCATCAGTGACGCTTTTGTCCATCGATGAGCTGCTGACAACTCGTTTGGTCTTAGTGAACACCATTGCCGATCGAACATCGATGACGTTTTCGTCCTCCGCGACGAGTACACAGATCAGCTTGACTTTGCCACTGCGCAGATCACGCAATAACCCTTTTGGTTTAGTGCTGGCAATTGAGTTATCTCCGAAGTTAAGTTCAAAGTCACAACCAGATAAAGTGTGTAAGCGCCTACGCTTGATCCGTCATTAATGAAGACATTAAATGTCTCGATTAATTCTTAAGAAATTACATCCACAGGATGCTGGGGAGCTATGTTCAAAATTTAGTGATCATCTACACTGTGTTATTGTACCGTCGTGCTATCGACCGTACCACAAGTGAGGTTATCGGACTCACTCGCAGTACATCCACATGAATGTGGGAGTTCCAAGATGTTCTTCAGATGGTCATCTGATGAAAAAGTGTCAGGCATCGTTTCTCATCGATGCTGCCATCTCACTCTTGGCTCGTACCGTCTGAGCCAAGGTAATCACAGGATGACACCAAACTTGTCATCCAGATCCAGTTCGATGAATCCATCATCGTACTGTTCGTCCTCTAACGTGTAGTGGATTCCTACTACACATTTCTTAACGGTTATCGATGCGCCTGTTGCTAGGCGAACCGTCATTCTCGTTGGAGGGATCTCCCGCTCCACGAAGTTGAGACTTCCAACTTCTAGTGACTGGCGGCAAACAAAGTTGTTCGACGCCCCACAGTCAACTAGGGCGCGAATCGACAAGTCCTTTGTCAATTTTAATGTCGAGGTGATGAGGGATACCTCATTACCAGGTGTATAGACACGCAGAGACTGTGTCGCGGGAGCAACCTTTGTCAAGGTGTTTGCGAATTTTCTTGATGTTGCTGGATTAGTAGGGCACCTCGCCCCTACTGACCCCGACCATTGTTTGATGGCCCCCCGTTTCACATCCCTCTTCCTTTGTGCACGTCCTACCTGCGGGCGTCCCTGCACACACCCGACTGAGCCAACATGAACGCCCCGATCATCACATACCTATGCATGGTGAAATCATACATCCATAATGCGCTCTGTCCATTGCATTTAGCCCTTACTACACGACGGTTGTTGTACGCTAATCACGCTATGTACCATAAATGAGGTCCGACGATTGCGCCCACCGAAGGCATAGTTGTAAAAGAGATTCGAAAATGTGATGATCTGACTGAAAAGGACCAAAGTTTTGTGTTGTGGACATTTTAGCTCTCAAGAAGGAACACGCACAATCAGCTGCACCCACGGCGTCCTGCATGGTAAGCACACTCTGCACAAGCGATTCATCTCAATTGTACATTTTGCCGGTGTACGTTCTCTACGTGCGCCATTGTCAACACGCATTCCGGAATTCTGCAAAAACGTCCAGCGTCAGCGCGAACAGTTCTTTAGGGTGCGGGGTGGACGGCTAGCGAGCGGTCTGTCACCAGCCTTATTGGTCGGTAGTGTTGTGCTCTTAGTCTCGCCACCCGAAACCGAGATCGAACCTCATAGCAACGTTGGGAATATGAGATGCTACTTGCATCTCGTCATGTGGCGCTACTTGCTCGATCATGGCGTTGTATAATCTGATCAATAACAGCTTATCACACCGGCCTATGACGCTGACAATGCGAGTCAAGCGGTACTATGTGCCGTGACTAGACAATTCGCAGGTCGATCACTGCGTGTGCAGGTAAAATGAGTCGAATCGATTAGTGCTATGGAGCTGCTTCCGTATTAGTTTCCAGATGTGTCGATTTGATCGACGAAGCTTCGCGCAAAAGTCAAGCGGTCCAGTCTGATGTTCAGCGCTTTTCACACGACATGATTCTGGCTGCCAGACGGCGTTACACTCCATCGCGGCTGTCTTTGTGTTTTTGGCTGTCGATCGAGAAGAAAGGTCAATGTCGACGTCCGTAATACGGTGGCGTCAACCTCCAGCTTTCGGTTCGTACAAACGACGATCCAGCCGGATAGTACAGTACGGCTCGAAGCGACGCTCCACTTGACGCCATATCGAAGTCAATAGGGACCATTTCCACGCGCGACCCTGCATTACACACATGCTCTGAGTCGGCCTCCGTTTTCAACAGCGAATGCCTATTGGCGAAACGTTGAATCCCTCGTTTGTTGTGACGCTCGCAGGCTGCAGAGAGAGCCGCGCTGAAACCCACCGGGCATTAGTATCGGTGCTAGAGCGACTTGCGTGCGGTCCTTTCCACGTTTCAGCTCTCGCTAAACGGTTGTTACAGAAAAAGTATGGCACGAGCACTCGGATTTGCCCTGCGCTGAAACCATTTGCACGTACAACGGTCTGCTGGCTGGTTCGAGGACTCAAGCTGTCGTCACACCCGCAACCCCAACGCACGATCCCGCGATCATCGAGTAGCGCGATTGTGTCCCACTTTGACAATTGCTCTGCTAACGCCAGCGCCAGCATTCGCTCGGAGAGCCCACTCAGGCGTTTGCGCGATTATACAGATACACATCGAGTAAAGTTGCAAAACAAGCGATGGAGTTCACTCCAACAATGAGCACTACAAATCACATTTGGCTCGCCCCGACACCCGTTGACGTGGAAGCACCGAAACGCAACGGTTTGGTGGTCCCACCGAGCCGACGCATGTATGTCAATATCCTCGTCGCCGTACTGCAGTCAGTGCAATTCGGCTGGTCTACTTCTCAGATGAACAATTCGATCTTCAACAACGAGGCTGACTGCAACGCAAGACCCGTCGCACCCGGCACGTGCCTCATGTTTCCCGGTCATACCAAGTCAGAGTGGACCATTGCTGTGAGTTCTTGGATCGTCGGAGGTATGATTGGCAGTCTCTTGACCGGACGCGTCTCGAATAAGTTTGGACGCAAGCCGACAATGATGGCCAACTGCATCTTCATGATCGTGGGCGCCCTCGTGCAGGCAACTTCCAGTACCATATCAATTTTCACTATCGGGCGCTTCTTCGCGGGCATTGCTGCGGGCGGTTCCACTGCAGTCATTCCCGGATTCATTGGTGAGATTTGTCCACCGCATCTTCGATGCAAGTTGGGTGTGTGCTTTCAGATATCGATCACGGTCGGCCATCTTCTAGTTGCAGTCGCGTTCTTCTTTGCAAGCACAAGTCTTGGCTGGCGATTCATTGCGGCCTTCCCGGTGGTGTTAGCGTTTCTGTTCTTGGTGCTGGCACCTTTCGTTTTGGTCGAAAGTCCGGCGTGGTTGTTGACGGTTGGACAACCAGCGCGAGCGGAAATTGAAATGGGGCGTCTCTATGGGTCGGACAACGTGTTTCTGACAAAGAACTGGATGACACAGGACGAGGTGGCACCCCGGGTAGGCGTGGGCAGCGAGTATATCATGCCGATGCAAGACCTGGCGATGTCGATGTCAAAGGACGCAAACAAGCAGCGCAGTTTTACAAAACTATTCTCGCCCGCCATTAGACGGCAACTTTTGGTAGCTATCGGTGTGGCCGGAGCGCAGCAGCTCACAGGCATCAATGCTGTGTTCTTGTATTCGTCTGGTATATTTAAGCAAGCAGGGCTCGCGGACGGCCGCATCGGTGTAGTTCTGGTCAATTTCGTGAACGTCTTGCCGACGTTGTTCTGTGGCTTGCTGTCAGCACGTTTTGGAAACCGCAAACTCATCCTGTTCGGGTTTGGAGGCATGTTTTTGAGTGCAGCTGGTATGACGGCTTCGCTAGTTGGCAGTGCACCCGCGTTTGCGATCGTGTTTACAGCTCTCTACGTGACCACGTTTGGCTCGAGTCTCGGACCATTGTCATGGGGAGTGATGGCGGACCTTTTTCCCGATGACGTTCGGGCCATGGGCTGCTCAATTTGCGTGGGTTGCAGCTGGCTATGCAGCCTTTCAGTGGGCGTAGGTTATCCGTACATTGCCGCCACCTTTGGAAACTACAGCTTCGTGCCTTTCTTGTGCACTGTGACGATGGCATTCCTGTTTGTACAAAGCTACGTTCCAGAGACATACGGTAAGACCATCCAGCAGATTCAGGATGAGTTCCAAGCGCGTAGGAATCAAAAATCACGTAGCAGTCAGATCGCTGTTCTTGGATGAGAAGTGCGAGACAGTAATGAATAGATGATAAGTTAAAGTGTGCGATCAAAGCACAACGAAGGATAATCTATGCTTCATAGCAGCCAAGGACGATTCACGTGGTTAATGACGAGGCCCACAACTAGCCCTCGCATTTCATGTCAAAGGTGCTTGAGTAAAGAAGCAAAAGGAGTGCCGATCGGTAGCTTTGCATCAAAACCATATTTAACGTCATGACACACAAGAGCTACATTGGATGTTGCATGGATCATGGCTGCCTCGTAAAATAACAAACGAAGCCCCGCAACATTATCTATTTCGTTTGTCGAGCTATAACTCTTTCGGTCCACGCCTTACAATAGGCTCCAAAATGCAAAACGCTAGGCAGTCCAGTGCTAGTTGTACTTACAGTAGCACAGTCGTGGCCTTACATCGCTACTGCGGCTAAGCGATTTTGAGCAGTGGACGATCAACGCAAGGTCAGGCTCATGCTGATCCTAGCTTGGCCGTCATCAACTTCGCTGGAATCTCATAATTAGCTACGAGAAGGTATCGAGATAATCGTGCATCGCATGTGAGTTACTTGTTGCGGAGCTCTTTTTCACTGATGGGATAATCAACACAGCTACATCACTGACAGTTCGATGACGCTGATCGTTCATTCGTGTGCATGAACTTTGCACGGACAAAGTCGTTCAAAGCATGGTCGTACCAGTCAGAAGCGGTACAGCAACAAAGACGACAAACATCGTACTGAAGCGAACAATGCACAGCCAGTTGTTGGAAACAGGACGTAGCAACAGCGTGGACAACGAAGCACACTTGCTCATGTATAAATGAGTATACGACTACCCGCCATACGTAATGTGTATTATGTTGACACCCACATCCAACGCCTCGCGCAACAGATCGTGTATAAAGCGCTGTAGAAGCGAGCTGAAGCTCGTATGTTTGCTTAGAGCTTGAGCGATAATGCTGACGCTAACTCGCTGTTGCCTCCATTTGTAGAATTATGTTGGGGTGGTGGGAAGTGAAATGACTTCTTATACACACGGCTGATCAGACAGACTCTCACGCAACGCAACAGCGTGGCGACCATCTCACGGGGATCCTAACAACAGCGCCTTTGTCCGATATCATATTCACCCGTCATGCATACAACGGGCGTCATCCATACAGCTGCTATGTTTTGCACTTCAGCCGCGACATTCGATTAACAAGCGTGCGCAATGTTATAGCGTCAAACAACTTCATCTCAACGCGTCATGGCACCTTACGACCCGATGCGACATCAGAGATTCAGAAGCTCCGACATGTGGCCTTCTCTCGTGCGCTTGTAGATAAAAGATAAGCCTCGGTTGTCGCATGACGTTAAGAGCAAAGTAATGAATGGTTTTGTAATCGACACAAGCTTTAAAAAGAGCCGTTTGGATGCACTCGATAGGAAGAGAACACGCAACTCGTTCTAAGTTATTAGGTGGCGTAATACGCACTCGCGAGGCGATCTGAAGCGCCGCCCGACATTGATACATGCATGATCGCGGTGGTCACACGCAGACCAATCGTCATACGAAGCCCCAGCCTCTGGAAGTGCGTAATAGAGACAGAGAGTATAACGAGGTAGTTGCGTTCCCGTGAAGCACTGTCGATATACTCGGGCACGATTACTCACTACCATTAGACCTCCAATTTGCGTTTTCGCAACCTTCGTTGGACAGAGGCTGTGACTTTCACGTAAAGTATTTGCGCTATACTCGATCACAAAAGGCTACAAAGTCACGCGCCAAAGCGTACATGTGCCGGCGGATGTTTTGATGGCTATGACGTGCGACCGCGATGGACAAGGAACTGGCGATTTATCTTCCATCCGGTCGATTGCACACCTGCTGTAGCTGTCAAACGGTGGTTTGGCTGTATTTTACGGAACGACCCATCCCGCATGTCGTTTGCAACGCAACTGCTGTATCGGACCATTCATTTTACGTTAAAAAGTTGCGACGCACGCCTGTCGCTGCTCGCTCCGTACAACCTTGCGGGCCACGTGGTTTTATGCGGGACATCTGCGCCCACGATATTGACGCTGGTGAGCGCTTACACCTAGGGCTCTGCTGGAAGTTTGCTCGAGTACAGTAACGGAGCCACTCACTTCTGCTGACTTTCGGAACTCGGTAAATGTGTAATCTGTGTCCATAGGCTCCTGCGGTACGAATGGAATTGCCAGACATCATCAGATAATGACTTGTGTCGCCAAAGGTGGCGGATTGCGTCGAGGTCGACTGGTTCAAGCACTGCCATGTCGTCTAGCGCAACGGCTGTGCAAAGGATCGCGGGTCCGATCCATCACGACGAGCGGCAGTCTTTTCGTTGTCGCGATTGGACGTATCCATTTGACCAGCAAGTTCATGTGGCGTTGCTTACCGAGTAAATCGCTCCTTCGCTCGCTGCAGGATCAAAATAACGAAGCTGCCATGTCGTACCACCAGCATCTCGTTGAAGGATACGTGCAACCGTTTTCCAATTGCCTTGTGGGGACATATGAAAAGGAATCAGAATAAAAATTTGCACGAAGTTTACGCAGATCGCTTGGTTGAGCAATAAGTGTAGCAACTAATAAACCGCGAATGGTAGTAGCTTGAGAACAATTTCGATTCAGACAAAGCCATCTGCGGACGAATACATCTATCAAGTCTTTCTTGAAACGACTTTGTGCCGACGGTCTTCCGTGCACGCTCGACGGCTAGCAGTTTCTACGCGATCATTGTGCGACATGAGTTTGGCGAAACGTGATGTATAAACGTGCGTCGTACGAGAAATGTGAATCCATATTGTCAGCCTACAGACATCGTACAAACACCGGGGAGACACCTTCAGCATCGCTTGTATTGTCATTGAGCGATACCGATGCAGGGTACGTATGAGCTACTGTCAATAAACAGTGTGTTGGTTGGCATGTCGAAATGAACTCATCGATTTCTTGCGTCGTCTATATGTACCTTTACAATCTTAGCATCATCGATTAACGAATTCTGTTGCTCGTTGCGACGCGCTTGTATGACATATCGACGAAGCTTGGCGTTTTCAAGATGTGACCAACGATTGCATACAGACAATGCTGATCCTGCTCTCGTTACCTTCTTCAACTGTCGTGGTGGTTGCAATTCCATTTATGTGCTCGCACGATCACTAGTGCTCGCACTCATTACAGCACGAATTAGTGCAGCCAGCCACTTTCTAACTGCCAGTTGTCGCCGATAACATCCGTTTCTGCAGACACCATTCAATGTTGCTCAGTGGAAGCAGTCTTACCGTGCGGCGCAACCCCAGAACGCCACACAAGAAAAACATCACAATACCACCATGTGTTTTGGCACATTACGTAAATCAATATCGGACGACATATCTCGGCTTGCCTAGCAAAGAAGAACGCGACTGCAACTAGAAGATGGCCGACCGTGATCGATATCTGAAAGCACACACCCAACTTGCATCGAAGATGCGGTGGACAAATCTCACCAATGAATCCGGGAATGACCGCAGTGGAACCGCCCGCAGCAATGCCCGCGAAGAAGCGCTCGATAGTGAAAATTGATATGGTTCTGGAAGTTGCCTGCACGAGGGCGCCCACGATCATGAAGATGCAGTTGGCCATCATTGTCGGCTTGCGTCCAAACTTATTCGAGACGCGTCCGGTCAAGAGACTGCCAATCATACCTCCGACGATCCAAGAACTTACAGCAATGGTCCACTCTGACTTGGCATGACTGGGAAACATGAGGCACGTGCCGAGTGCGACGGGTCTTGCGTTGCAGTCAGCCTCGTTGTTAAAGATTGAATTGTTCATCTGAGAGGTAGACAAGCCAGATTGCAATGCTTTCTGTATTGCAACATTTTACAGGAATGCTGATCAAAATGTGTGATCATCATGGTTGGCAAGCCAGATACATAGATTTTCGTAGGGTAGAAAAAGTAGCCGCAACGACTTTAGATCGTGACGTTGGTAGTGATCATTTTCGTGCTTGTAATTGCGCTAATCAGACTTGTACAGTCCTTTGATGCTGCTGCTCTATAATTTAATAAATTAGAGCATGATAATAGATTAGGAACACATTCAGTGCGAAATCGATGCTTTTTTTTGTTTTCTTTATGCCGCTTGGCAATTGTAAATTGATGCAACTCGCGCGCAACTAGCAAGAGATGCTTTGCTGGAACGAGACAAGATGTGCAAAAATGACGCTAGCTTTGACGTCACCCCGTTTTGTGGCAGGATCGTTGCCAGTTATTGTTCGATTGGGTTGACTGACTAAATCTGTAGGCGGACTTGAAGATAATAGCGGGCACCAGCGACTTGTTGCGGACCAGATGTCAGCCTTTGATAAAGTTATGATAGAAGAAGTAGTCCAAGGTCCAAGCTTTATTTGACATTGATGTAATATCAACCTGCTCAACGCATGTTCTAATTACGTGCATTTTACGCCTATTAGTACGACATGTAAAACCCAGAGCGTGTTGCGACGTGTGGGGAACGCGACTGTACAATGGTCCCTGCCAGAGATTGTTGATGAACCTAACGTGCTGTGTCGATGCCCGACTTTAATATACAACATATGAATGTAGACCACACATTCTTACGTAAAAGGGCTTTCTTCTAATCGCGGCGGGCGGTAAGGATATTATATTGTTTTATGAACGCCCTTTTGCTATTTTACAGTGCAAATTCATACGTGATGTCAACACAAAATAACTTATTATATACTTTATTTACATTTAAGGAATAAAACTGTGTAGAATATAGAAATTATACGCTTGATATTGCAGTATTACACGGTCAGATGCTGAACAATCAAAGATAATTTTTAGCGTAAATCGCCTGCATACAGGTAAGAACTACCTTTGAGCAAGGAGGTGGGCGATCAGCGCGCTTATACGCAAGAATAATCCAATTGTAAAACCGAATCATGAGTTTGAATTGGTAGAAGCAGCTGCCACTTCACCCGATGATGTAATAAGTCTCACACAATCGCAGAAGACTCACATTAGTTTCGTCCAACCTAAATTTTCATCGATCCACCATCTTACATTATCGAAACACACGAAATTGGTAAGTTGCATCGTTCTTCGTGTAAAAGATGCTGTACACTCACGAAAGATGACGAAAATGATTTTATATTGCGGTAAGTGGAGCATGAGTAAGATTTGTTTTTTAATTGAGCAATTCCTTTTTGTGATTTGTAGCTACATAAATTGTAAATGTTTACACCGCATGAAACGACAATTTAGTTGAGGGCTCGAATTATACATTTGGTACTTTACTCTTTACACATCTTTTTACGTACTTGCAAACGAATATATTATCTCCGGTAGGCACAATCGAATACTGTACGCGGTGCATTCGTGGTCTCAAACGATCAAAGCTTCACTGTTGTGCTCTGGTTGTATAATCAAGCATAACCTACTCTGTATTGGCCGCGTGCTATAAGATCTGCACGATGACAGAAAGAAAGCGGTTGATCGATCGCTTGGCAGTTCGTTGACCTGGAACCACCGCACTAGTGCTCGTCTTTGTAAGAATGGCCGAGTTTGTAGCTGATCGTGTCTGCACCAGCAGCCGTCCAGTGCTTACTGCGTTATGTGTTTCGGAGTCAGGAAGAACTCATGTAGCTGTCTGACATTATTTACAATCCCAGTCGGATCAAATTATGGGCTAAAGCACCACATCTACGTGTTTGCTCAGTCAAACGAGTGCGTGACCGTCTTCGCACAGGGTGTGCCTTGAACTATAGACGATCTAGCAGGAAACGGATTTGTATCAGTCACTAGTCTCGGAATGTGCTCGGACACTAAGATAGTCACACACTCACACAATGCCGCACAGTAATCGAACGCAATTCTCTCATGGTAGCGTCTGCATGCCTTTCAGGTAGGGAAGATATATTGATGTGAGCCGAAACAGAGTTTTATGCAGCGTACGATCTCTGCCGATGAGAGCTGTGAAGGATAACGATGCCCAGGGCATACCTACCCTAGCAACATACACGCGTTTCAAGATCACAAAAGAGAAATCGGTCACGCGTCCTTTACTAGGCATTCACACGTGTTGATGGAAGGTCTGGATATGTTCCAGACATGTGCTCCCACCGCTTGGACTGCTCGAGTCAATGACATCAATACTTATCGCCCTAATTATGAAGTTGGTGCAGTAGTATGAACACGTAACTTCGGGAGCAAGGTTGCGACTTTAAGTTTTGTCGAGGAATGACTTCTCGTGGCAGTTCACAAAAGTCACTAAGTGAATTAGGGAGATTGAGCCCAGCATGGCTTGACCTCTATGGAAGCATATACACGCATGCCTCCTCACGATTTATGCAACAACTATGGCTATTACCACCAGCTTTGCTGCTAAGCACGTTAATTTCCGAGGCTGCATGAAAGACGAACAAGTTTGCTTTGAGGCAAGACACATTACGCACGAATATCGTGGAGTAGAAAGAAGATGTATCGCTTGTCAACTACATCTTTGCCTTTCGGCATATCGAAACTAGTGCATCATCGAGTAGAGCAAACAAATGAAGACCATCACGTGAGCTCAGCCTCATAGCATCTACTGTTCACGGCGCAAGTCGTACTCGGCCTGGAGCTCTTCTGCCGTCTTGCCAGATGTCTCCGGTACGAGCTTCAGGGCCAGCAGGTAGAAGATCGCTAAGAGCACTACGAACGGAACGTATGCGTAGTCTTTCAATGCGTCTGAAACGTACGGATAGGACACACCCACAATCAGGTTGCACAGCCAGTTGATGCCGATGCAAAGGGACGAGGCGCTGGAGCGGATCGAGTCGGGGAAAATGTCGGCGGTCATCACCCACACAAGAGGCCCCAACGTCACGCCGAATACGACCACGTACAGCGCAGTAAACACGACCGACAGGGCCGACACGTCAACAAGGAACGCCACCGTCATACCGACGGACATGACCACCATACCTGCCAGACCCCACAGGATCATGTTACGAGCACCGAAGCGGTTGGCTAGCACGCCAGTAAAGAAAGCAGGCCAGATGTTGATAAAGTCAATGATGAGTGTGCCAACGCGTGAGTCCGAAATACCGGCATCCGAGAAAATGGTTCCGGAGTAGTAAAACACGGCGTTGATACCCGAGAGTTGCTGTGCGCACGACAGCATGATCCCACCGAGAAGCTGCATACGGTAGCGAGGCGCAAACATAGACTCTGTCTTGAGAGGCGTAGCAACCCGGCCTTCTTCGGTGCCAGCCTTGCTTACCTCCAGCCACGATAAAGCCGTCTGCACATACTCTTCGCCGTAAAGTCGAGCAATAACCTGTTTCGCCTCTTCGCTGCGTCCTTTGGTCAAAAGCCACGCAGGACTCTCCACGCATAATGACGGTGCCATAAAGAGGTAGATGGTAGCCAAAACGACAGGGAACGCAGCCAGATAACGCCACCCAGAGCTTGTGTTCGCGACGAAAAAGAAGATGGCAGGGAATAGAATACCCATTGTAGCTGAGATCTGCAGACCCAGACCTAGAGTGTTGCGCATATGCGGAGGCGACAGCTCATTGATGTAGCCGCCGATCGTGGCTGTGGCCGTACCCGATGCTATACCAGCAAGAAAACGGCCCAAAGCGAAGACCCAAATGTTCGACACGGATGCCATCACGACACCTCCCGCAATCATAAAGATGCAGTTGCCCATGAGAGTCTTCTTGCGACCATACTTGTCGCTGTAGTAGCCGCAGCAAAGCGACCCGACCATGGCACCAAAGATCCACGCGTTCACCGCGAACGTCCACTCCAGCTTCGAGTGACCCGGGAACATGAGGCACGTATTCTCGGCTACTGGACGGGCGTTGCACTCGTCCGTGTCATTGTATTGCGATAGGTTCATCTGCGAGGTGGACCAACCGCTCTGGAATGGCTGCATCCACGAAAGCAGTGCGCTTGTGTACAGGATCGTCTTGGGCTTGATGAGACGAGCAGCGGCCTTGCTGGCCTCGTCAAAGGCTGTCACGGGCTTAGGAGAACTAGCATTGACATAGCTGTCAGTCATGTGTGCTTGCTCGGATGCAGCTCGGATAACGTGAGACTTGCTAGATAATTGTTCAAATGGTGAATGAAAGAATGCCGGATGCGGCGCACTACGCGTTCAGAGGAATCCCAATGGGCAAAAGCTGTGCACGCACGAGCTGTTTGCAGCAGTCCGATCGACTGGAAGAGCGACAATCAGGTGCCGCAGTTCAAGCAACGGCTATCTGAGTTTCGCTGACGTAGTTGCACAGATGAGAAAAACTGAGTAAGAACAAACGGATCAACTTTCGAGTCAAGTCTCATGACGTATAGTGACCAGATCTACTGCGTGAAATATCTTCGAACGTCGCGTAAGCGCATATGATCGGTACAAAGACACAGCAAAATTCACCAGCAATGTGAGACTTAAAACAACCACACAGTGGTCCGCGTATGTATCGCTGCTGCTACTGGACCGGCAGCGCTAGCTTCGAATTTGATAGATTGTCGAGCATATGTGCTATAGGGATGTCCTGATTCGAGGATCAGAAGCCTCAAGGCAAAACGGGAAAGGTACCCGATCGATAGGTGCGTCGTCACAAGGGCCATGAAATCCGCAA